GCTAATCTGGGGGCTCGAGAGCCTTTGCAGGTCCGCCGATTCATTGAACGTGCAGCCGAGGAGGACGGCATAGAGCTATGAGTCAGCTGAGCTAGCCACAGGAATAGCATACAGTATTTTGCCTCCCCAGCTAGGGCGGTGGTGAGACCATACTCTTCCATGGACTCGCAGCAAATGACAGCCGCTTGAAGAATACGTTCAGTTTGTGTGCTCAGCACTTAAGATTCCTTTATTTGATGGTGCGTTCTACTAAGTCTCGATACATGGCCTTGACATCCTGCACGTCAGCCCGCAACTCCTCTACTAGCTCGCTCTTCTCCCCGAGTAATTCTAGTGTTGTCTGGTATCTCGAGTTCAAATCCTCAACCTGTCCCTCCAACTCGGTCACCCGTTTTGAAGCCGTCTTGCTCGACTCCAGTTCCTTCATCAAGGAAACAATCTCGGCTCTAGCTTCGTCTCTTTGTCCCGATATGCGCGCCAGCTCTTCTCGGGACGTTACTTTCTCCGCTTCCAAACGACGAATGGCCGCACTCATTCTTTCGACCAGCTGCACCGAAGGCCCTGCACCAACCGTTGACACAGAAACCATATCATGCATCATTTGGCGAGGTGAAGACGATGTTTCTACGCCGTCAAACAAATCGTCCTTGTCGCCTGCGTAGGATGTGGGCGTAGGCAACGAGTCTGGAGGCAACTCAAACGAAGTAATGGACGGCGCAACCGGTAAACTGGAGCCGCTGGGCAGCATGGGCGGTCTTGCTGGAGGCTGGCTTGACAGTCTTCTCCCCAGCTGTGAACCCTCTTGGAAGCCGTCTGTTCCGCTAGTCGGGGTCGATATCTTACGACCCTTGCCAGATACACTGTGCAGAAGTAGCAGGTCATTACTCATCGTACGCGTAGGTACGGAGAGCAAAGGCGAGTCTGGGCGACTCTGAACTCTAGATCCAGGACCGGGTAAGTGGTCTTCCAGCCAAGGCCGACGGTCGGGCTCAACGGTTTCATTCTTCCAAGCTGCCTGCTGCTTTTCGAGGTCGAGCCTCACCTGAGATAGCGCTGCCTCGGCGCTCTCTGCTCTTTTCTGCAGCGTCTCATTACGAGCTTGAACACTCTCGATATCCCGTTGGTAGTTTGGAAACCTGCTCGTGAGCTCTTGGAGCTCCTCATCCTGGCGTTTGCATCGGGTTGCCTGTAATCGTTTAGAATAATGATACTCAATGACAGAAGCTCCGGTAAATGGCCTGGAGGAATAATCATGTGCCTTACAGTCTCTCTAGCCTTTTTCCGCATGTCTGATTCGCGTCGCAGAGCATCATCCCTCTCGCGCTCAAGGTTGGCTACCCTTGCGACCAAACTGGCCTCGATACCCTGCCAATTTTCGGCAGCAATGGCATGCTGCGTCTGCAGTGTTTCCACTTGACGCAGAAGTTTGACTTGAGAATCACCCACAGCGCCAGAGGAAGCTTCTTCTGCTAGCGCACGCATCGCCTCCAGCTTCCCCTCCATTGCTTGAAGCTCCCCCTTCATCTCGAGTTCCTTGGCACGGGCGCGTTCGGCGGCGCGCGCTGCTTTTGCTTCTGCCTCTGCTGCACTTTCCTTTGCCCGGCCAGCGATGAGGCTTCGCTCTAGCTGCAATGCAGCAACGGTATCTTCAAGGTCTTTGACGCGGCGTTTCTCGGCGGTCAGCGCCTCCTCGTTCGCTTTACCTACAGCGGAAGTAGCCTGGTCAGAGGCCCTCCGGAGATCATCCCGTAGCCTCTGCATCGTTGATTTGTTAGTTGACACTTCATCGCGCAACGCGCTTAGTTCATCTTGCATTCCGTTGGATTTGATCTGCAGTTCTTGGTTCGACTGTTCAAGTTCCTCAACGCGGCTGGCTCGGGGCCGCAGAGTCTCCATGTCGGCAATTAGCTTTTCTTGACGAGCACGTAGCTCTCCCAAAGTTTTCTCGTCGCCTGCGATCTGCGCCCTGAGTTTCCTGATAATGACCCGATGTTTCTGCTCCGTAGCGGCCAAATTCCGGCCTTCGTCCATAAGAGCCGTAATCTTCATGTCCCTTTCGGCAAGTATTCGCTCGTGACTCCCCGCACCTGCCGCCGCTGCAGACGTTCGTGCGGCGTCTGTAGCATCCCGTGCCAGGAATTGCAGCTTTGCCTGCATGGACTCAAACTGTTCGACATAGCGATGCATCTCCTCCTGTTGCTCTTTTGCTGACTGTTCTGCCCTAGCTTCCAGAGCCTCGACCTGTGCATGGAGTACCGCACAATCCTTGCATTCGAGACGGTTGCCAGTGAAGGTGGTGGCCGTCTCGAGTTCTGGCTGGGGGCTGGGGGCGGCGGAGACACTGTCTTGTTGAGCCTCCGAGTCTCGGCTCCTCTCTGGCGAATTCGGAGCTCGCTGGCTGTCCAGAGGATCTTCTTTGGAAGCCTCAACGAGATCGCCCTCATTCTGCACGGTGTTATTGGGTACGGCGGCCTCAGTCAGGACTGCTACCGGCGTTAGAGTGTTTGCCAGGCTAGTAGTATCAGCACCCCGTTTTGGAAGCGAACCGGCTCCTGGACGGCCGCCATCAGCGCTCGGTCGAGCACTCTGGGAGTCTGACGTTATGCTACGGGCATCGGACGGCTGGGTGTTTTTAGCGGCAATGGCCTTTGTAAGACGCTCTTGTAGGCGGTCGTTGGTACGGCTACTCGTTGAGGATCGAGGCTGGCCTGAAGTAGATGTGGTCAGTACGATTGTTGTGGTATCACTCCATGACGGTTCGAGCCATAGGGAGGGGGTGGTTTACTTATTTGCTGGTCCTTGGAGGGAGCCGTGGTAGAAGCCGTAGCAGACTGGGGAGCTTGCGGTGGGATAGCTCCATTCTCTCCCTCAGCAAGCATGTTATCGAGACGGGCCTCGACGCCGGCAACAGCCTGCTGAAGGAAAGAGCCCCAACGCGTCGACTTTGCGGGAGCTGTCATAATGATGATCGGCTGATGTATCGGTCCTGAATACCTAGAAACGAAGACGGCTGGGCTATGCCTCGTGGCTGCTGTGTGTTTCGGAGGTCATGAACATTTCGAGTACGCCTTCAAAGACCGTGATGCGATGGGAGTGGATCGAGCTGTCGTGCTACCGACTCGCAAGAAGGGAGTTGATTGTCTTCCCTGTACTCGACAAGAAAGTGTGGAGGTTGCGCGTTCGGTGACGAAAAACAGCAAGAAGCTTTGGGATCCGTGGTGCTGAAGGAGGTGGGCCGGTTGCGACCAAGAAGAGCAGTGCAGTACAGCGCGGCAGCTAGTAATCGGGTTGAGCGTCGATCGGCTGAGAACAAGTGGAAGGAAGAATGTATTGGTTCTCTGTGCCAGGTGTGTAGACAAAGAATGCTCACATGGACAACCAACGTGGCATGTAAGGGAGCTGGAGCAATATCGTTTATTTAGGTTGGGCAAAGCGCAGTTGCGGTTCCGTGTCGGGTCGCGGCAAGGCAGGGAGGTGAGGTACTCCGTACAGAGTACACACGGCACCGATACTTAGCAGATGAGAAAACTACAGTTTCTTACTCCGTACAGCACGAAGATCTAGCTCAAAGAGGGGTGACCGTTTCACGCTGGGCGCCTCACTTACCCACCTCAATGGGTGTGTAGCTCTGGTATCACATTGAAATTTGCCTCTGCTTTAAGTGAGGCAGTTTATAAGAGTCCAACGTGATCAACATAGGCACACATATATAGCCCAAGGTCGTAATATTATGGTACTGTATGCCATCATCTATCTTTCCGGCCACCTGGTAATTAGCTCCATGGCGCGGATTCATCAAGACGATATGATGGGTAAACAGTGCCTTTTCTGCCAGGGTCCCTTGCTAAAGTGGCTAATGGCGTTCTATGGAGACCTTTCACACGAAGAACAACGCAAGTTGTGACTTGACACGAACTAGATATTCTCCAAGGTAGATCACTTGGGTTTGTAATAGTCGGAAAGATGGCCACTGCGCTGCTATCAACACAACACCAACTCCTAAATTTTGGGATACTCATTCCAGTAGACATGAAAGTAAGCAGGAAAATGACCTGATAGGAGCCTCCAATCCGATTACCCATGCGAGTAACGTGCATATGTGCATCCACCGCATTCCGGTACGAAGTACCTACCTTAGGGGCTGCAAGAGGTGAAGGTACGTCATCCTCCACTGGGGCCTCGGAACGTCCACCAGAGCTAAACCGAGTCGTGTCTGCAACGTGTAACCAACGAGGTACCACGGATTGTCTTTGCTATCTTCGTTGATTTATGGGCAGAACTCATTCTTTACCTTGGGGTATAAGCCCGTAATCACTTGCGTTGATCGTAGTGCGTCTTCTTTCCTCCTCCCGCAAAGTTGCAGGCCACACGCTCGTCGTGCTCTCATACCTCGGATTTCTCAACATCAGACAACGAACGGGCAAAGGCCACGAATTAGTCCAAGACGGCCCTCTTCAACTTGCAACCTGCAATACCTCCCATTTCTTCGAGTACCAACCAAAGTGCTTGTGGCTGCCTATCTCTCTACTGTGCAACTGGAGCTCAACCGGCGGAATCTGGCCCAGTCTGTCGCAAGATACTGACTGATTCAAATTTCCCCCGAGCGACCCGGCCCTTTCTACGAGTCTAGTGGTACTCCCCCTCCTCATATGCCCCCCTCTCCTTCTCTCCTTCTTCCTTTCTCTCGTTCTCTTATTCTCGCTTATATTCTCCGTGTTCACCGGGCGCGCGCCTTGCTGTTCTGCTTCCTCACCTTTGTGTCTCCGGTGCCGCTTGGAACACGTAGACGGAAAGTTTAAAAGATTTTAGAACACTCGGATTCCTTCACAATCTCTGCAACCGTGGCCAAGATCCAGTACAACCCTTTCTCTCTCTCAGCAAAGTTGCAATCTGCGTTATTTTGAACCAGGGCCCATTTGAGCTGGACAAACAACTGCTCATTTCCCTCTGCCTCTTGTCTCACTCGCCCGGGTTGATCCGGCCAAGGTCGTTCGTTACAAATGGCTTCATCTCCACTGTTCCAGGCCTTGCGTGTGGCGTACAATGATGATTCTCCAGAGGGCTACTGGGGAGAAAAAACCTCAACTCTGAATTTTTGCGAAGAGGTGAGAAACTCGTCGTCCACCTGTGTGGTCGCTCTGTGCCATTCTTGGTGTTGCTGACCCCTGCTTACCTTTGTCGACATAGGACTATGTAGTTTCTTATTACTGTGCTGAAGTTTGCAATGTAAGTTACACATTCTCCTGCTTCAGTCAGCTCTCATCTTTACTGACTTGACCCTCTAAAAGACCTTGACCAACCTCTTGTTCCTGTGGCTTGGCTTCAAAGGCGTACATAATTGCGTATCTCAGGGCCACCCACGCATTTTCCTAGTCGCATATCTCGGATACGTTATCGTTGGACTGGGCTCTACGGCCTTCCACACATCCTTGAAGTGTTCGTCCTCACTCCTCGCTCAGGACATCTTCTGCTATCTGCACGCGGAGTACTGAACTGACAAAATTACTTGGCTAGACCCTATGCAGCTTATCGACGAGCTATCCATGATATACACCACGTGTCTCATGGTCTTTGCAACATTTTCATTCTCCAAGTCTAGCAGGTTTTCGGTCTTGTTGGGCGGCGGTCTCGTCCTCTTGGCTGGCCTTATCACGGTGGGTGGATTCTGAACCAATGCCATCCACGGCGTGATGATTGTGAGAACCCACCGTTTTGACCACTGTGCAATAGTCCTACTACCACATCACCAAAGATCCGGCTTTCCACCAGGCCTGCTATGCAGCGTTGACAGCAACGGTAATACTTTGAACTCAATCAGCGCTCAGAATGCCTTCCTTATCGAAATGCTGACTGACGCTGTGCAGGTTGTTTTACGCAGCTTGTATGTCATGGAGACGCAGCTGCGGCCAGTTCTGGCACGAAGAAACAAGGACAAGGCCGATCTCATTCTCAAAACCATGTGGATCATGGTTGGAACAGGTCTCTTGGAACGGCCCCAAACCATACATGTTGTTCTATAATGCTGACATGACTGATTAGGACTCAGTGTCTTCCTCATGGGGTTTCTTATCTGGAATATTGACAATGCGTTTTGCAGCCAAATAAGACAATGGCGACGACAGCTTGGTTTGCCTTGGGGCGCACTGCTAGAGGGTCATGCTTGGTGGCACTTGATGACAGGTGTTGGTACGTTTTCTGATTGGAGCGGTACTGTCATTTCTACCAAGATTGTTGCTAATGTGATGTATAGGAGGTATGGATCAGAGGACATACGGCATTCCCACCTCCGACATGTGCTAATGAGTTATAGCTTACTACTACATTACATGGGGCATATGGCTACGCAGATGTCTCGAGGGTCGCGAAGATGAGTACAAACTCGTCTGGCCAAGGTCCCTTTCGTCGATACCGCTAGTGGTCAAAGCAGAGAAGTCGGACTAAGAAATCAGGATATCAATGGTGGACAGACAATCGGTAACCGTTCAAGGTAAGATTGCACCGGCACCCAAGCCGAGGGTTTGGCGACAGCAGCCGCATATTCTCAAGCCAAGGAAGACACAAGCACCTCTAGGAGCCCTGTTTAGAACCATTGGCAGATGGATGTATCTAGCAGCCAGCACTGCTGGGCGCAGATGGCAGGATGACATATGCCCGCACCTGCGGCATACTAGAAATACCCCATCAATTGCAATTGAATCGAGCCAGAAACAAAATATAGAACTTGTGTGACCTTTTGCAAAGTGAAAGGTAGTCCAATGCCGTCTTCTATTCATCTACCTCACCTCAGGTACCCTACCTTACGTGGTACCTTAGTTAAGGTAATGTAAGTGCGGAGCCAGTAAGCACGACGTAGCGGTAAATGCATAATCCCCTGAAGGTATTCTTCCTTGTTGCATATCTTACCAAACGCCTTTCTCCACTGGGAGGTACCCACGGTGCCACGGTACCTTGAGGTAGGCAAGGAGTGCCGTAGAGTCTTGCTTAATTTGTGACGGTCCATACCTTACCTGTCAGGCTGGTGCCAAAAATTGGTACACACTACCTTCTACCAGAACCTCAAGATTGACCACTCGTACAACGACCCAAATAGACCAATACTAATTAGGTTTCTTAGGATATTATATTAGAAGATGAGAAGATCATTCTGTTATTTTTAAAATATTAAAAGCTCAAAAATAGGTTAAAGTAGGCATTGCTGGGTATGAGGAAGTGGTAGTTCTTCGGTGTGGTACTGTGCATCACTTTTTTTGTCACCCACTTGCCTGTATGGCTAGATACCGCCTTTCCAAACCAGTCCACTGCAAACTAAAGTTACACGCATTCACCATCCACTAATTATCCCCACCTTGTCGCGAGCTTCAGCCAAACGAAAACCCCATCTCATAGTTGCGATCTCACGCCTCAGCCTGCCCACAACATCGTCGCCAACGACACTGAGTTCACTTGCGAAAACCACGATTTCCTCCGCGACAGCCTTATCGTTTGAGCTACAAAGAGCCACTTGCCAGTGCCAGGGGCATCGATACAACGTGACCCGCCAGGAACCGTCTCATTGTTACATCAAGTCAACATGTCTATCCCGAACCAAGCGCTTGAAAAGGTGAGAGGACAACAACGATGGAACCCCTTGCCTTTGGTCTCTACTCTGCGCTTCAGCTGCCGCCTACTCACACGTGTATCTGACTAGCTGATCCGAGAAATCGAAAGCCAAGCAATCGTGGCCCAGCAGCAGATTGGCCAGGCACGCACACAGATGACGGCAAAGCAACGAGAAATGCGCATGGTCCGTCTGACGCTTGATGAGGTTTCCACCTTGCCCTCAAACTTGAACGTCTACGAAGGTGTCGGCAAGATGTACGTAAATTCCCTGCTGACCCATGTTCTTATTTTGTGATTGTGTACGCTGCAGCCAAGTTCCGTGTTTGACGGACGTCGGATGACGAAGCGGCTGCAGCCAGGACCAGAGTATATGGATTACGTTGCTGACGCCGAGCCTCGGGGGCGGAAAAGGTTCGTCGCGTTACCCACCCCGCAGCTTACACAAAAGCTGGAGGGTCAAATCAAGGATAGGGAGGGCGAGGTTGAGAAGCTGAGCCAGAAGCTGCACTACCTGGAGACAACGTACAAGAACAGCCGGCAGCACATTGACCAGATGCTCAAGGCGCAGTCATGATGACAGATTCTGTAAGAGACCAGAGGGTAGGGGGGCCAAATGATGGGGTCAGGAGCTTATCGCATCGGGGACAACAGAAGAAAAGGCGGAGGTGGAATGTTTTGTCATGCAATCCTCTTTAAGCATCGGGACGGGACGACAAGCATCACCGAGTTGATAAGCACTTCTGCGGCTCCGAGTACGGGTAGTACAGCATTTGAAGACGTATTTTTTCGAGCCATCGCTCGCAATGCGGCGTGAGCAAAGTACTTGTGCATGTTAGTGGCCATTTGATGCTATCCTCGTCCGGGGGGGGGGGGGTTCTTCGAGCATCGAATTGACCACAGTTGGGACTGGCTCGCGAACATGAGGGCGCAAGCAACGGTGCTGTGATGGACGACCAAGAGCACTCTTTGCGATTCAGAGCTCGATTCATGCGTGTCAGCATGCGGTAACGACTCTCATATGAGCGATGACTCTGTGAGGTGACTGGAGATCGGGAAGATATACTCGTACGCACTGATAAGAGGTGGAAGATGAACCTGAACTTTATCTATTACTGCCAACAGTTTGACGAAGATGAGCGAGTGTCGTGCGCCAACGATTCAAGCGCCGCGCCGCGCCTCTCTCTCTCTCTCTCTCTCTCTCTCTCTCTCACGTCGGCAAAGTCCAATGTCAACTGTCTCGTGTGTATGTTCGTCTAGAGCAGATGGGTCTTCTCTGGGTGAGGTGGGAGAATAAGACTCTGGTGGGACATTTTGACAACCGCCGCCCGGGTGGTCTTGGGTACACTCAAGCGTGCTTTAAGGTAGTACGATGTAGCCATTTCCTGTCCGTTTTCCGTTCATTGATGATGTTATGTTCTAATCGCTCTAGGCCTGCAAAAGGGTCTAGGAGGTCGTACCACGCGACTGGGGCGAGTTTGCCGCCAACAGCTAAAAAGAGCAGTCCCATCTAAACTATATTGGTCGTCTCCCCTTCCTTTCCAAATTACCGGCGGTCAGCCCTCTTGTGGTACATTACTGTGTTTGTGTGTGTACACCCAAGGTAAGACCCGGCGGCTGAGGTTCAGCTCTGGTGACCTGGGCCTGGCCCGTTGGTACTTGAGGGTACACGAGCCGATTCGGGGTGCTATTATTACCTGGGTACGCAGGCAGCCGCGAAAAGGGTGCTTCACGATATTGGTCCATGTTTGACCACCTAGCCAGGGCAAGGAATCCATGGCCTGAGTAAAATGTTTCACTGCGCCAGCCAGACTGTTCTCGCAAGATGCCACGACTGGGCCCAAAAACGGCTGCCTGGTAAGGTGGGTTGGGTTGATGGATGGTTGGCGGTTTGCTGGAGACGTGAGGGCTTGCCGCTCATCGCTGGAGGACTCAGAAGTGAGGGGGTGACCGGGGTGTCGGGGCCGGGGTTGGAGGCTTTGACCCCACAAGGGATTTGCAGTGCCATCCACCTACAACATGTGCCTAGGTACCCTCCTTGCCTCCCTACCCAAGGTCTGGCAAAGTACCACAGTGAGGTAAATGATGCTCTGAGAGCACCACCTACCCATTTCGCTTCTATTCGTACCAGCAAACACCTCAAGTTGCCATATGAGACACGGATTTATAGCGAGCGCCCTGTGGTAAGGCTCCCTAGGCAAGGTACCTTAGGTAAGAAGCCAACTGAAACCATGTAGGTCCTTATTCTTCCCTTAGGCACCTTGGGTACCTAGGCGCGTAGGTCAGCACGGTTGCTAGGTCCTTCTCCGTGCTACGTACGTGCTCCGTCCATGCTCAGTACTCCGTACATACGGATACAGGCCGTCGAACCCACTCTGTCAGCAATCGCGCAGCCCTACGACATCAGGCTAAGCCGTTTCGGGCCTCGAATGGGAGGATATCTGCGTACCTCCCCTGCCATGCCTGCCACCTGCCACCTGCCACCCTGCGCCGAACTATGTACGGAGGTCAGGTCAAGGAGGCACCCAGTACATATCGATAAGTCCAGAACTAGGTATCCGTATTAACGCATCTTCGCCCATCCAGGTGGGATGGCGGTCATCCATCCGTTGTGCGGATGAACCGACGAATGAACGGTCGGCCCCGTGCCTTGCCGATGCTGACTGCCCCGCCATTGATCCCGATATACCAACAGATGGGAGTGAGGAAAGTACACCATCTCGAGGTGAATGTTTCTGGTCCGGCGTCCTCTTCGAAGATGTCAGGCTTGAATTGCTAGGCGCGTACGCCTGATACTCTTTCCATTGACCAAGGGTTGTAATTTATGACGCCGGCATATGATCCTGCGGCGTTGGCGTCCGCTTGTTGAGTGTACCTAGGTAGACAACCTCAGCCCGTTTTCTTCCCATCTCGAACTACCTACTAGTTATCTTAGCGGTCGCTGCCCCCGCGACACCGCTCCCACATCACAGCCCCTCATTCACAGCAACTTCGTGAGGTAGGTAGGTACCCTACCTTACCCTCCTTTAGGTACCTCAGCATTTTTCTTCTTTTAAATCACGCTTACCTTTACCTTGGGTTCCCTCTTCGGACGGTGTTGGAACACTAGGCCCTGTCATCCTGTACAAACCCCCTCTCCTAACCTGGTCGCTTAGCTTCCCTCCTAGGCCTGGTGGGCCATCCCCTCCACCTGGCTCGATCCTCGCACTATGGCCAATCCAACCACTGGCTCCCCTTTCTACCATGCCAGCCATGTAAGCCGACCGACCAGCGACCACTACCTCATGTCGCGCATCTCGTCGCCCCCCTTCAGCTCTTACCTTACTCTAGTACCCTAAGCCAGAAAAAGCATAAAAGACCATCGAGTTGTACTCTTCCGCCCCCAACCCCTCTTAAACCACCTGTCCCTCCCTCCGGTTGCTCGCCGTCGTTGTGTTTTCTCTCATAAAACCTATCGTTTCCTACTTCGTAGGCTCACAGAGGTATCTAGCGACTGAGCCTCTGATTCTCACTCTCCGCTGCTGCCCACACCATCCTAACTTCAACCATTGTTGAGCCGTTCGGCGCTTTAGGCACCATGAGTAACAGCTACTACTCCGATTCGGATGACCTTGACATACGAGTCTCGAGGCGTCGGGCACCGTCGCCTTCACAGGTTCACTATGTTGAAGCGAGATCGAGACCCAGTAGGAACTATTACCCGTCAGCAGGTCAACAGCCTAGCTTCTTGGCTCCTGAGCGCACAGTCATAACCACTCGCACTCGGTCAAGAGAGCGTTCCCGTGAGCGCCATTCCACTCCACCGGGTCCCGCTCCGGCTTCCATCTCCGCTCCGGCCCCGGCTCCTGTAATTATCAACAACCGTATTTACAACGAACATTCTTCCGATGATGAGGACGACCGCCACATGCAGGTCTACCACAGCCGTCACCGTTCTCACTCCCGTGGTCACTCATCTCATTCCCGCTCACCTTCATCCTCTTACATGACCCGGGAGGATTATGAGGCAGAACGGGCTCGACAAGAGCTGGCGGAACTCAGAATCAGTCAGGCTCGTGAGAAAGAGGAACGCCGGGTTCAAAAGGAGTTCCGGGAGGAAGCTGAGCTCCAACGTGCCAAGCGCGATCTCGAAGATATCCGAACCCGGGAGGCTCGCGCTGCTGAAGAACAGCGCTTCAAGACCAAGATCGAGCTGGAAAAGTACCAAGAGGACATGCGGAAGGCAGACTTATCCAAGAAGCGAGAAAAGGAAGCTGCCGATGCCGTAGAACGCTACAAGAGAAAGGAGGCAGATCGACTTACGCAAGAGAAGAAGGAAAAGGAACAGCGTGAAAAGGAATTTCAGCAAAGGCTCAAGGAAGAGCGTCAAAAGGAGCTGGACAAGCTAGCCAGGGAGAAGAAGGAGAAGGAGGAGCGCGAGAAGGAGTACCAAAGACGTCTCCAGGAGGACCTACGTAAATCAGGTCTTGACGACAAGGCTATTGCTGCCATCCTCAAGAAGGAGAAGATTCCGGAGCCACCGCGACAAAGACCAGCCCAGCATGAAAACGCGCTCGTTGCTGGGAATCGCCCAACCTACACGCGTATGGCACGGAAGCATCTTTCGATTGAAACCTTGCGAACATATCAGGTTGAATGGGAAATGGATGTTGTAAGCATACTCAGAAGGCGACTGACCTCTGTTGCATCTGCTGACTTATCTCAGGATCCTGATTACGTGCTCATCAGACGATGGGTGCCGGAATGGGAGCAAGATACCCTTTGGAGACACACCAGGTCGATTCGTGAGAAGCGCTCATCCAAGCTCGTACTTGAGATCGAAGACAAGAAGTCGCACCGCCACGAACCAGAGTTTGAATGGGTCAGAAAGAAGAGTGACCGGAAGAGAAGCAAGTCACCCGCGCTCCTCATGTACCTTGCGGGAGCGAAACCAGCATGATTTGAGGAGGAAAGGGGGAGGAAGGAAAGGAGGGGGGAAAGGCGACATTTTGGTCGCCATTTGGACCGAGTACATCAAACTTCTTATCGCATCGAAGGCGAGGATGGGTGTTTGTGTCTGGGACAACATCCTACAATCACACCACACAAGATATCTTAGATGCCCAACGCTCTATTAGAGCTTCCCAGATTGTTTGTTCTTTCTCGGGGGGAATATATACCATCGGCTACTAGTACAAGTCGTCTTTGCGGGACGTTGGGTTTCTTTCAGTGGATCAAGTTGGGATTGTATGTTGGAGTGCGCATTCGCTATGGCTCCGCTGTCGTTGTCGTCGTCAAGTTTGAGGACCAAGTGCGTTCAGCTCTTCTCATCAGTTCTTCATACACAGTCCAGGCCAAAGCTGAACTCATTGCTTTTCTGCTCATGCGGAGCGCAACACCATCCATAAGTGACCGAACACCTTCTTCCGAAATCATCTTCTGGCAAGCCTGGTACATGTTTCTGTAAACAGCTGGCTGCAGTTGAATCCTCGTTTTGATAGCATCGAAAGGATTCGAGATGACGGAGCACGCTCCACCCGCCATGACGGCAGAGCTGAAATTGACTAGCGTTGCATGTGATGTTGTAATGGCGACGGGGCGATTCGGATTGGGGCTGTCTTTTCGAGTAGACAGACTGCTAAGCTGCTTCTTTAGCAGCTCGTAGAACAATACATACATGCCCGCGTAAGGTGCATCACGGACGGCGGTAGCACCGAAGCCAGCAAAGAATCCTCGCGGACCATTCGTCCTGTATATGTCCGAAGACGCGCCGAGCAGGGATTTATAGGAATACAAATTGGATTCATATCGAACCTTGATGACGGTCAACGGCATGAGGACAAAACCGGCAAACGTCCTGGCGACGGCGCCGGCGACCAGATTGGCCGATGGGGTTAGCGTCGGTAGTGAGGACGAGTGTGCTGCCCTGTTGCCGGCGGCTTGGCTCAATAAGCGCGACTGGGCCACATGCTGGCGGATGGAGTTGAGGGATGTGAAGTAGAGGGCCGAACCGAAGCCGGTCCTGAGGGCTGACGGGATTGTGCCGCGCCAAAGCGTCTGGATCTTGTTGGGAGCAGCGGCAACCTCCCTGAGATACGACGTCAGTGACCGGTGGCCAGATTGTTGAACACGAGTCTTGAGTAGGTCAAGCGGTTGCAGCAGCACTGCCGATGCAATGCCGGAACCTAGTCCAGCAACGAAATGTCGAGCTGTGAGAGGAGAGGGACAGGTCAGCGCAGCCTCGATCACGGGTGAGTTTAGAGAAGAATTTCAAAGTGGCAGCTCGCAGGGAGTCATGCATATGACCAGACAGTGGCAGGTGAATAAGTGTGCCTGTCCTTTTCTTACATGATTTTGTGCGGCCCGGAGTCGCCTGTTGAGACATGGGGACTTCTGAGAGAGTTGGTGTCGTATCTTTTAGACGGGGAGATGATACTGGGCGAACTGCGGTGCAATATCGGGTGGTGCGGCGGCGAGTTTGTTTTATGTGTGGAAATGAGTGTTACAAGCAAATGCCATTGCGTCAATAACCGAAGATGTTCTTATCCTAAATATACGGGTTGCCTAAGCAGATGTGATGGACTTCAAGGCAGAATGAGAAGGGAAGAATGATTACAAGTCGTGATGACTTTTCAGAACGGCTGGCAGGGTAGCTAGATATCTACATAAGCACATGAGGTAGCTAAGTTGAGGTAAGGCAAGGTCGTCAAGGCAGGTCGGTGCTTCTGAGTCGCTAGCCGTATCGGGCAACGCTTAGCAGAAAGTCAGGGAGCAATAATCGGTGTAATGACGGTTATATACATATGAATCCTATGGGTCCGACCGGGTCTTTCCGGTCAGGTAGCCTCCGGCAGGCCCGGCGTTCCTGACCCGATTCTCGACGTTTGCTCACACAACGTTGAAGAAACATGAACCTCTGGTTGTATCCGGTGAGCTACTCGAGAGCATAATGCTCTCGTCTGCCGGTTTGGTGCTATCCGAGCGCAGCGAGAAACATAATGCCAACTGCTTACGATGACTAACATGCTGTCGAACCTCCTTTTCATGAGGTGGAGATGATTTTCCGCTTTGTGGACTCGCCTTCCACCTTGCCTTCGACCCTGCCTTCCGCCTTTGTAGTCATCCTCCTTTGAACGTGACCCGAGCACGTTACCACGACTAGCAACAACTCGGGACTTACGCCTCTTTGGCCCCTGTCGCCTTGAAGTCGCCGATAACCGATTCAAGGCGCCCAGAAAGTAATCGGTGCCTCTTGACTATGTCAACCCATTCAGACTGTTTCGTTACTTCGTGTTCGTCCCCCAAGGTTGCCAAGAGCATCCCAAAATCACCTCCGAGCCTGCCCAAACTCCCTGAACAGTACAAAACTTGAGTGAGGATACTATCCCTTGCTGCTTGGTCTTTCACAACCGGAAGATATATTGTCAAGGTTTCGAGAAGCATCTCCACAAGATGAAGTGGGAATGTCGATAGCGTTGATGGCATGGGTCTAAAAGGATCCTCGTCGTCGTAAGTAGTTCCGGTCTGATATCCAGTGCTGGGAAATATGCTCTTGAACATGGAGACAACGCTGAAGCTCTGCTCACGGAAGATCTCGACATAGCGTTTGAGATACTTTTCTGTCTGCTGCCCGCCTGACCAGGACTGTTGATTGGCGCTCTGTTGCCTCTGCCTCTCGTCATCAGCTAGCTCACGAAGGGGTTGTAAAGCCCCCAAGGTAGCGTCCAAGGTGGCTACGCGGCAACAGAGGAAAAGTAGTGAGAGGGTGTGTTCCTGAGAACCGCGGCTCGTGGAGCTCATTGAAGACATGTCCGGAAGCACTCTTCTGAGCCAGCTGATCGTTCGCAGTGATGCGGCCAGCTTGAGTCCAGGGGACTTGAGCGCAGCGATGAGATCGGCCGTCATCTTCACGATGGCCTCGTCAGCTTGTTGGGAAACGAGGTCGACCAGCGGCGAAGATGAATACAAGCCATGAAGTCTCCGAATGTGGGCATTGAGATCGAGAGCGGACGCGTAATTAGCAGGAACAGTATTGATGGCGGAAGAGAGGAGGGTAGGAAGTTCCAGCACGTCGACGAGACGTTCAACATTGCGCAGTAGCAGTAAGGCGCGTTTCCTTTCGGCCAAGTCCTCGTTGTCCCTGGATTTACTGTAGATGGTGGAAAAGCGCAGGGCCTCTGATTCGAGCTTGGGAATGGCATTGCGCAGGTCTGCCGTGTCTGCAACAAGAGTGGGCAATGCGCGGGTCAGGCCAGTGTGGTTTGAAGCCGAGTCGATGATGGATTTGTGAGAGCGCTTTGAGACCCCTTGGAGCGAGAGGAGAAGTGAATGTGATGTCTGGGCCAGGGATTGAGGCTCAGTCGAGGCTAGTGCTTCCGGACTCTGATCAGCGAGGTGGGACAGGTATGCGAGCTTGGTTGACCTAGTTGTCGGGTTGAACAGAGCATTGGCGTCGGTAGCGAGGCTCGTAGACTGCCGAGCATCGAGTAAATCAAGGAGAACATCAGCCATATTGGCGGCTTGTTCACATTGGAAAGTTGCTGTTGATAACTACCTTGGGCAGCAGGTAGATGTCATTGGATAGAACAAGGGGTTTTCTGTCACTTTGGGGCAGGAGCAAGTGGTGGCACCACCAGCAGGCTACCTCAAGATAAGGTAGCTTGGTAGGTGCACACCGAAAGGCATCCACCTGACTAAGGTAGTGTAGGGTCGGAGTAAGGTACCATAGCTTGAGTACCTACCCTGTTACCGAAAGCTATGCCGATGAATTTAAGCAGAAAACCATTTAAAGCGAGGACTCCAGCTAGGTATGCTGTTGGTCTCACCTGGCCTCCCACAGTCTAGGTAGGCACCATGCTATTGGAGAAATCGCTTGGGTAGGTAGCATTCAAGATCGGACACAAGTGCACCAGCACGGATGGCCGCGTGCGCAGGAATGTTTGAACCTCCTGGGCGCTGATTACTGATTATTTCAGTATTCATATTGCAGTATGTACGGATCCCGTACCCAAGCAATAAAGGGTTGGAACTGGGGCCAGTCCCCCGCCGATTTCCTTTACTACGGTTCACTTCATAGCACCGCCTCGATCAACTACACTGCGCTACCTAGGCGTGTGATGCCATCATGAGACGGACAGCTAGTTCTGGCCATAGCATCCCACGACCCCTAACCATAGTGCAGCTGACGCGCAAGGTAGCTAATAAAAAGACAAAGTTAGGGCGCAGGCGGAAACGGCCTCGAAAACAACTGCCTGAGAAACACTTCTTGTCTGTGAACCTGTGCTCACGGCCGCCCCCACCTCTGTGCCCAGTGCTCAACTCAGGGCACCTCTTAAAGTCACGACGCAGCTGGCGGGTGGCCAGGTGCTACAAGTCTTCAAGGGTCCTCCTCCATCAAGCTTAGCTTCCCCAACAATCCGTCTGCTCCCCGCGCGCCGACCCCTGCTTTACCTCGCCTGCTTCATAGCCACACGAGACCTTGAACCACTCACTCATTGCTCACGTTTGTTTATCTTGTCTCGTTCACCTCAAGCATTTGATAGACTGACAAATCGATCCGGTGACAGAATCTTCCTGTCGAAGAATACCTTGAAAAGGAAGACATCCCAAACGTCCAGCGCCGCAATCAAGCCACGCAGCCCACTCTCGTCCGTCTCCCCAGTATACCACAGTCTCCTGTCACTCCCGAACCGAAGCAGCTTTCAAGACCCTCCACAGCAGAAGCAGATAGCTGAACTCGAATCAAGGCGTCAACACAAAGAATGAAAGATCCTTTCTTTCTCGAGCCACTGCCATGGCTCGTCAAGGCGACTCAGCCCTTTGCTGACTACTTCTCGCTGCCGACACTGCCGATCCACATCCACGAAGTTCTCGCCTCAGCCCTTCTCTACTCGGTCATTTACTACCCCGTGTCTCCGTTACTGTCGCGATTGATAGTGGGCCGCAAATACCTCGATCTAC